ACATGGCATCAACGTAAAAGGACATAGCTTTATCTAAGAGATAATATACGACTATCAACAAAGAATCCATGCAAGGAATCAACATAGCTAAATGGTGGTTAGTCTGTCTTGGTACATAGTCAAAGATTAGAGATTAACGCTTTAAATGATGGCCAGTCCTGCAGATCAAGCTTCATTTTGAGTTTCTAATTTCTGATTTTAATATTTGTTTGATTTACAGGGAAATTAATGAAACAGCACTGTAATTTATAAGAGCTTAATAATGGGATATAAACAAAAATTTTAAAGTAGTATCTGAAGAAGGGATAAGATGTTTAAAATTGAGGGAGGAAATCTTTTAAGTGAACATCTATTAAGAATCTGAGTTTCTTCCTTACTTCCAAAGTAGCAAGTTTGCCTGCCACATAGTGTTCCCTGTGCATTAACGACAAATAGGAGGGCTTGAGGAATGGTAAAATCACACAGCAACAGACACCTTCCTCTCCATTTACGGAAGGCCACTAAGTCATGCCTTCACAGGTAGTAGTGCGGCATTATGGGGGCGGAACCCCTTAATAAGGAAATACGTATCTTGAATAGGGCTGCCAATTGCCCTCCTCATCCCCCAAAAGGATATTGAGAGAGAGAGAGCAGCCTCCAATTTTATCTTTTTAGAATGGATAAAAAATGGTAATGTTACTGACTGGATGCAGAACAAAACCAAATTAAAGAAAGAAAGGATGTGATATTTGCCTGGCTATTTTTATTTTTTCTTCCTCATTTTCTTCTGTAATTTGCAATCTCTTCATGATTGCAAAACAGGTTGTGTTCTCTGCATGTGCCACTGCAGCATGGAGTTCCAGAGCTCTTGCATTGCAGATGAACAGCCAACATCTGTGGTAATTTTATACACCTGATGCTCAGTGAGGGTGGGGATGGGTCTGCCTGCATCCTTCCTTTGCCTGAGGGCTTCCGTAGGCTGAACCACCTCACTGGAGACAGCCGAAGACGTGAGTCTGAAAGGAGACAAAGGTTTTGTCTTCATGGCACTGGTAGGTTTTAACTGGAGAAAGTTAGGAAGCAGTTGAGACTGGCGTTTGGACCACTGTTATGCAAACAAACCTTGTGCTCACAGATATCTGAGATCCTAAAGAGTGTCTTTATTCTATCTTGCAAATAATCCAAAGATTCAATGATCTGGTGAAAATTGTTGCCATTTACATTTTAGCGACAAATAAAAATAACTTTTTCTTGAGTGGTCACCAACTGCTCCATTATCTAGGCTTGAAATTATTCTTTTTACACAGTCCCATTTATAAGATTGGTAATTCTATATGAATTAATGGCAATTATAAAAATCACAAAGACTTTTAAATAAACATGACCTGCTTCGCAGTTACTTTTAGGAAAATGCGTTTATTTTGTCTACTAAACTTGGCCATCTTTATCATAAATACAAATTCCTTTGAGCCAACTGTATTTTCAGTGCTGGGTTGGGGATGATTGCTTTAGTGTGTAGATATTTTGGATATTCAAAACTGTTAGGTTTTTTTGGTGGGTAATACCTTAGTTCTTGGCTTCCCACGAGAAGGAATTCACCCCGAAGCCTGGTTTGTAATACAAGTGGGTTTTGCTAAAATATGGGAGAAAATTCAGGTTTTACTCTCAAAAGAGTACACGCTATTTCAGGGCAGCGAGCCAAACCGCCCATAAGCCGCGCTGGGGCTCACCCCTGAGCAGGGCAACCTCTTGGGACTGCATGCCCACCTGTGATCACCTGCGGCCAGGAAGTCCACGACAGGGTCAAGTCAGGAGCAAGGTAAAAGAGAGAGGACAGAATTCCCCCTGACCTGCCACTGACCAGGAGAGCAGGTCAAAGGGAGCAAGTGAGGAGAGGCTGCGGGCCCCCAGTAGGCTTGGAGCAGGTGCAGAGGGGACCTGCCCAGGAGGAGCATGTGTGCCTTCTACCTCCACCTGCCTCTGACCAGGAACAGAGTAAAAAGAGAGCGACCTTCCTGTTGCCAGGGTATTTAAAGCCTCCAGTTAGGAGCCTCAATAGAAGGCATTGATTGACCCCTTTGGCTGAATTAAGCCCACCTGGGTGGGGTCAGGAGCTGGGCCTAGTTTGGGTCACCCAGGTGTAATGCCCATCCGGCATGTGGGGGGTGGGGGTGGGATGGCTGAATTGGAGCATGCCCAGTTAAAGTTTTGATGGGTGGGTCATGCTTGCCTGATTTTTCCTCCCACCCTCCTATGGGAGGCGGGAGGGGGTGGGGCTGTGCAGGCAGGCATGGGAGGAACACCCTCTGATTATCCCTATCCTGGCAACCTAACAATCCACTATTTTCTAGTGGGTTTGCCATGATCAGTGTAAACATGGTAACAAAAATATACTCTTTGAATGAAGGAAAATATTAGTCTGATGCAGGCAGCAGAGTCAAGATTTTCCTTTAAAGGACTAGATAGAAATGCTTGTGTGCTACATTGTCTCTGATACCCCTCAATTCTTCTATGATAGTGCAAATACACAATATGTAAACAAAAAATTCTAGCTTTCTTAAGGGGGAATCTTCACAAGATTTCAATAGTGAGGAAAAACGGAATTTTATCCAGGATCTGCAACAAAGAGAAAAGAGAAATGGGTCACCAAAGCTCTATCTGAAAGCCATACACATTTTGCTCTTTTTATACAGATTTAGTCATGGTTTTATTCTTACACCAAATGAGATAAGTATCAAGAGTGACTTCTGCAAAAATCTTTGTCAAAGACATGGCGATAAAGAGCATCCGGAGGGGTCTTTTGTTGACCCATCAGGCTAGAATTGGGGAGGACAAAGCCAATGGGACTCTTTGATCTGCATGTCTTGGACTTCAGGGGAACTGCCTTAAGTCTGCCTTTGTTCTGTCTGCATGTCCTTCCCTCACCTATCTGTCGATTCAGTTGTATTCTCTTCATCTGTCTTTCCCCGTAAGTAGCCTCCCTGCCTTCCCAGATTACCAAGGAGTACAAGTGCTACTCCACTTCTTGTCCCCTTTGGACTTCACCTTGGCAGTTTGGTGGTCAGAAAGTGAGTGTGGGTTACTCAAGATGGCATTGAGACCATGTATTAGTCTAGGTACTTTGGGGAAACAAATCCACAGCAACTCATGTATAAGAGAGAGTTTTATGTAAAGAAAATGTGCATCATGAAAACATCCCAACCCAATGCGGCCCAAGCCCACAAGTCCAACATTAACCCATTAACCCAACACCAGTCCACAAAGTCCTCCACCTCACAAAACAGAGGCAATATGCCGACTGCAGGAGGAAAGCTGAGTCAGTGAATGAATAAGCATCTCAGCACTAGCAGGGGTCTCCACATGGCTGCTCCAGCACCCAGGGCTGCATCGGGGTAGGTCCATGTAGCTTCTCCTTGGGTATGTCTTATAGGAAGTCAATCTTGCAAGCTGAAGCAGGGGACTGCTAAGGCAGCTGCACCCAGTGCAGCCATCACAAAACAAGAGACCCAAGAACTAGAAAGGCGAGGCTCACCACCCATTTATCCCTCCGCCTTTCAATTAGCCCCACATGTGATTATCGGCCAGGCTGGCACAATTAACTAACTCAGACCATTTCAAGGTTTAGGATGAGACTGGGGCTCAGCCAGCGTGCCTCTGGTTTAGACTCTTATTACTATGTGCTGTATTTATAAAAAGATGAATTGGCCCATGGAATATAGTTTGCAAATATCTGGTCCAGCACAATATGGTTTTGAGGGTACAAAAGAGACCCCCATCCTCAAATATAATTTAAGGAGAACATTTATTAAATCTTAAAAGGGACAAAGACAACACAAATACACAGATACATCATTGGATGAGGGAGGCACCCAGGGATGCACCGGGGTAGGTCCATGGGGCTACTCCTCAGGGATGTCTTGCAGGATGTGAGCCTTGCCAGCTGAAGCAGGGAACTGGCTAAGGCAGCTGCACCCTGGTCCGACCATCAGAAAGCAAGAGACTCAAGAACTAGAAAGGCGAGGCTCACTGGGCCATTTATCCCTCCGCCCTTCAATTAACCCCACATGTGTTTATCGGTCAGGTCAGCACCATAAACTTTAACTATCTCATTCCCTAAAGAGTTATTAGGAGTTTTTTTAAAGTTTTTCATTTTGGCCACTATTGTGTTTCCCATCCCCTTTTCTTCTTTGTTGGTAGCTTTTTATTACTGTCCTTGAAGTGTGCAGTTATCTTGAAGACATTGCTGTAAAGCAAGTAACACCAAGTACTCGTATCTTGATAGCACAATGACAGTGGTGCTGGGAAGCAAATAGTGAAGAGTTAACGTAAACATATACCTTATCTGTATTTTCTGGGCCTTCCTCCAATTCTGATGTTGCATTTTTCTTCATATAGCCCAACTTCTAGTATTTATTTACAGAATATTCAGATGTAATAAATATGGTACAAGAATACAAGTACGACACACATCTTCCCTGGTTTTAATCACACAGTGTTTCCTTGTTCTCTTTGAATGAGTGCCTCTTGGTCATGCACAGGTTCCATATAGTCACAGTGAAGAATTCTAGAATTCTCATTCTTCTCAATGTTATCCATAGTGGTTATGATCCACATAATCTTATACTTTGGTAGAGTAACACAAAGGTGTCTTTCTAGAATTAACTGCTTTCAGGCAAGGTCCGTCCGTATAGTGTTTACTGGTACAGAAGTGAAGATTGTTTTTTCTTTACAGTGAGTTGTAATTCATGTTGAAGGCTACAGTCCTTGATATTCATCAGCCAGTATTTCAATTCCTCCCTGCTTTCAGCCAGCAAGGTTATATCATCTGCATATCATAGGCTGTTAATAAACCTTCCTTCCATCCTGGTGCAAGATTAAACTTCACATAGTCCTATTTCTTGGATTATTTGCTCAGCACACATATTGAATAAGTATGATGAAGGGATGAGCCGAGTTTTTCAGCACATTTTTAATGCATTTTTGTGGCAAAATTAGGTGCTTTGGCTGATCTTCAGGTCTGCTTATACTCGAGTATATATGGTATATTAAATTGGAATGATACAGAGAAGATTACCATGACCTTTGGGGAAGGATGACATGCACATTTGTGAAATGCCCATATGAAAACAAATAAAGGATTCAGGCTTCATACACACCCTCTTTCATTTTAAACCAAGCAGCATTCCCTCATTCTGATCCAACTACCTGTTTGTCATATACAGATACCACATGAACACAACGAAATATTCTGGAATATCAATTCTTCAAAGCGTTATCCAGTTCTTTATGATTTATACTACTCGAGGCCTTTGCATAGTTAGTGAAGTACAAGTAAACTTCTTTCTGTTTCTCCGTTTTCAGTTAAGAACCCTCGGTTATCTGCAGCGATACCCCTGTGCCATTCCTTCTGAATCTGCCTTGAATTTCCTGCAGCTCCCTGTTGATGTACGGCTGCAATTATTTTTTAATTGTTTTTACCAGAATTTAATTGCATGTGATATTCATTATACTGTTTGATAATTCCACCATTTGGGAGGGGTCACCTTTCTGTAGAATGGGCAAAAATATAGATCTCTTCTGTTTGGTTGGCTAAAGAGATAGCTCCCAAATTTCTTGGTATCCAGTGCTTCCAGTCCATCCTTCATTGGGTTGTTGAAACATTTCATTGAAACTTTTTGATTGGTACTTGGTCAGTTCCTGCAGTCGTGTTTATTGCTAGTGTCCTAAGTGCAGCGTAGACTTCTTCCTTCAATAGCATTGGATCTTGATCATATACTACCTCTGAAAATGATTTCCGTATATACTGGAGTATAAACTGACCCAAATATCAAACGAGGCACCTCATTTTGCCATAAAAACTGCATAAAAATGTGCTGAAAAACTCAGCTTATACACGAGTAAATACGGTAAATGTCCACCAGTTCTTTTGGTCCAGTGACTTTGTGCATTCCTTTCATTGTCTTTTTTAAAAATCATTTTATTGGGGGCTCATACAACTTTTATCATAATCCATCCATCCATTCATTGTGTCAAGCACATGTGTACATTTGTTGCCATCATCATTTTCAAAACATTTTCTTTCTACTTGAGCCCTTGGTATCAGCTTATCATTTTCCCCCTCCCTACCCCACCCTCCCTCCCTCATGAACCCTTGGTAATTTATAAATTATTATTATTTTTCCATGTGTTATGCTGACCAATGTCTCCCTTCACCCACTTTTCTATTGTCCATCCTCGTGGGGGGAGGGGGTTTTAGGTAGATCATTGTGATGAATTTCCCCTTTCCTCCTGAAACCCTCCCCTTCCCCTCCTGGTATGGCTACTCTCATTGGTCCTGAGGGGTTTCTCTGTCCTGGATTCCCTGTGTTTCCAGCTCTTATCTCTACCCGTGTACATGCTCTGGGCTAGGCCGATTTGTAAGGTACATTAGAGTCAGGCTTTTTGATGCTTCATGCCCTGCTAAGTATTTTTTTCCTACAGAATCTTCCCCTTTAAAAAAAAATTAAGCCAATCCATTGCCGCTACATTTATTCAGACTCAGAGTGACCCTATAGAACAGAGCAGAACTCGGGGTTTACAGATGTAGATGCCAAATCTTTCAAACCATAAACATTGTGGGTAGCAACAGAGCTTTATTTTTACCACCATAGCCATGTGTTTTCCAGCTACCATTCCTTCCTCATTTCCAACCTTTGTATTCCAAACGCAAATAATTATCAGTGCATCTTGATTGCATGATGGATGAATTTCAGACTGAAGAAGTTAATGGAATGCTTCCATTTCTCCTTCATCAGCATTTTTAGTTGTTGACATGTGAATTTTGGATAACCATTGTATTAACTGGAATTTCTTGTAGGTGCATAGATATCCAATCACAGACAGCATTGTACTTCAAGATAGATATTGCAATATTCTTTTTAGCTGTATATGCAGAACCATTCCTCTTGAATTTGTCATTCCTCACATAGTAACTCGTGATTGTCTCATTCAAAATGCCTAATATCAGTCTGTTTAGGCTCACTCATAACTAGACTATTGACCCTTATGTGTTCCAATTCAGTATTTACAACTTCTAATTTCCCTACGTTTAGATTTCACGTATTCCATGTTCCAATTATTAATAATTTACCACTCTCTTTTCTCATTTTCAGTTGTGCCCCATCAGAAAATTAAGGTTACTAAAGGTTTACTTTATCCATCCATATCATTATGGACAATTCTACTTTGAGAAGACAGCTTTCTGTCAGTCATATTTTGAGTTTTTCCCAACCTGAGGACTCATTTTTTGGCGCTCTATCTGACAGTGTTTCACTGATATTCACAAGGTTTTCAGTTGCTTGTCTCTCAGAGGGGACAGCCTATGTCTTCGTCTTAGTGCATTCTTAGTCTGCAAGCTCCACTGTCACTTGTGCCTATTGAATTACCCAGCTGGAATCTGCAATACCAGGGCCATAGCTTCCAGCATCACAGCAACATGCAAACCACCAAAGTATGAAAACATGACTAGCGAGTGGTGGAACAATCAGACAGATCCAGGTAAAATACCCATTTGTTTTAGGGGATAGAAAGAGATCCCAACTCTCAAAAAATAATTTAAGGAGAACATTTACTAAATCTTAAACAGGGCAAAGGTAAGGCAAAAATCAAGACGGCATCTGGAACAGGACAATATTAGCAGAAAGCCATAATGGCATCTAAGCATTTGCTGAGGTATTTGCTTTGAAAAGAAAGTGGGAGCGCAAAGGGGAGTGCCACAGAATCATCTTCGGTGGCAGATCAATACATCACCATTACAGGTGCAACTACAGAATCTAGAACAGAACCATGACTGAGCCAAGTGCATTATGTTAGACATAAGAACTGACAAGACGAGAATAGCGCACGGACAGGACATGACCTATAGGGCCTGAATTACAACTATGCAACCCCCAACAAGGTGATCTCTATCCAGGACACATACAGCCTTTTAGAGTATCCCTCCCTGGGGTGGCTGGAGAGGGGTAGAGGTCATTGTTTGTCCAATGTATTCAGCTAGAAGACAAGACTGTTCACATCCCTATGTTTTGGTCAGAAGAAATTCAATAGAGGCTGAAATTCCACATGAGGGCTCTTCAAGTGGATTGTGGGCTTTCCCTGTCATCCATAGCCTGCAAATGGAGTAGAATTTAAGCTCCAATACGCCCTTTAGATTTTTAAGGTCGTAAATCTTTACCGAAGCAGAAATCCTTATTTTTCCCCCAACTGAGTGACTGGAGGGTTTGAAGCGTTGCCCTTAAGGTTAGCAGCCCAGTGCATAACTCACTACATTACCCTGGCTCCTTATGTAGGAATACAGCTGACTGCTAAGTCATGCTTACATCTCAGGATAAATAGGCTAGTTAGTGACTTAATCCCGTCACACCTGTGCATTAAAAAAAAAAAAAAAGACTGAACTGAGTATGTATTCAGGCTAATTGACTTTTAGCATTCAATGAGGTGAAAAAGAGGAAAGATTATTGAGTAAAAGACCTGTACAGACATGCATAATGTTGTATTAAGTCTGTTTCGAGTGCACTGACATACCTTAATCTTCCTGTTAATGCACTGTACTCCTAAATCTGATTTGCTCATATTGCAGTACTTAATATTAGGCAAAATGCAAGGCAGACAGGTTTGAAATATAGTTCCGGAGAATAATTTACTAATATAGTAATAGGAGATTCAAAACCCTGAGATTCTGCTAGTGATTATAAATCAAACCATAAAGTAGGTTAAATATGAGATGCAGGAGACCAGATTTTAAAGAAGAAAATTTAAAGAGATTGATAATGGCAGTTTTAAAAGTTACACAGATATGAGATGCTTTTAAAATAATTAATTCATATAAAAAATCTTTACAAAATATTAAGTCAGTGAATTACACTTGACCTTGGGTGGGGGGTGGGGGTATCTCTTGTTAATGTGCTCCAGAGATTCACAGTAAAAATTCCTAGAGCACTGATCTAAAAGTATTTACTGATTTCAAATCTCTTTAGATTTTTCTTAAATTCAATTAACTCTCCAGGAAAATGTCTTTTTAAAAAATCAATAATCTTTGTCATCTATATCTTCTCAATAAAAGCTTCACTTCCTTCTACTTTAGTCTAAGGATAATAAAGATAAGCTTGGTTTCTCCTGCTCCTTTTAGAACCCATTACCCCCTGGCAGTTACAGACTATGTCAATTTGAGCAAAGGGGTGGAGTCTAGCCTGCCAATCAGGTCACAGCCACAGTCTCTGTGGGCGTGGCCTTCTCCTGAGGATTCTGAGAACTCCCGGCTTCCTCCCTGGAGGCAGGACACACACTCTCTTGGCTTCACCTTCCTGCTGACAAGACACATGGAGTCACACTGATCCCAGCCGGAACTCTGGAGCTGGAGGAGCCACGTGGAGGCCCACAGAGACCCACAACAGGGCTAACATGCTTCCACCGCCACTAGATCCACAAGATTTTCCATCCACAGGCCTGTGATCTGCCTGCATTCAGCATCATTGCATGTGTTGCGTGAGTCTGAAGGGGAATTTGTAGGCTGGTATCGGCCATATGGGTTAATATTGGACTTACGGACTTGGTCTGGACTGGCCAGGGATGTTTTCTTAATTTACTCTTTACTATAAAGCTCTCTGTTAAAGCTATATGAGCGTCTCTGGATTTTGTCTCTCTAGTCAACCCAGACTAACACACCCTCTTAAGGTTTTCTTTTATTGAAAGTGTATACTTTGGGTCATGTGAATTCCACTTATCCTACTAATGCAGTTGTCTGATTTCTGCTTTCTCCCCAATGCCAGAGGACTCATTCTTACTTACGATTCTATAGTGTGATTTTCTTTTGGCAAAAGACTCACTCATTGGATAAGGCTTTGCTGGATGTATCCCATTGCCATCTAATTGACCTTGACTCAGAACAACCTTATATAGGGTTTCTAAGGCTACACATTTTTATGGGAGCAAAAAGCCTTATCTTTCACCCTAGGGGAGGCTGGTGGGCTGGTGGAGAGAACTGTGGACATTGGGGTTAACAGCCCAGCACTTACCTAAGAGGGAGCACTGTCAGATATTCAAGCCAATTTTAGGAGAGGGCATGGAAAAAGAGATGGCGTTGCTAACATCAGATGGATCTTGATCAAAGTAGGACACACTAGAATCATGTTTACTTCTGTTTTATGAATTATGCAAAGGCATTCAACTCTGTGGAGGATAACCAACTGTGATTGCTTTGAGAAGAATGGGAACAGCCGAACCTTTCATTGTGCTCATGCTGAACCGGTGCATGGACCAAGAGGCAGTTGTTTAAACAAAACAATAAAATACTGCATGGTTGAGAAACAAAGAGGGATGGACAGTGAGGGGAACACATTCTGGCCCACCAAGCCCAGAGGACGATATTCCTGCTCAGAGCAGACACTGCACAGAGAAGGCCATAGGGCTGGCCCCACCGTAAGACACGACGTCCTTCACTGAACCATAATGTTATGGGGGACAACACTGGAGACACAGTGCAGGAATTGTGCCAGATTGGGGCAAAACACCAAGGCCATGCATGGAGCAGCAAAGGGAGCAAAACGATGGAATCCCCAGAGAATACCAAAAATAGACTTTACAGACAGTGTGGCACCCTATCAGACTTGACTGGAAAACAATCCTAAAGGTCAAAAACATACCTGGAACTATTTTTAGGCTTTTCCTTTTTTGGCATTGACTTTATTTTCATTGTTATTTTGTTTTTGTTTGTTGGTTTTGTTTTCCTTTGTTGTTTTGTTTGGCTTTGCCTGTTTTTGTGTGCTTATTATTGTCTCTGCATGCCTATCTAGATAAGATAGGTGGGATAAACAATTCGGAGATGAAAAGGGACCAATGGTTCCAGGGATACTTGCATAGGGGAGGTGGGAGAAAGGAAGCAAGAGTGGGGGAGGCACTAATCCAGGGACAAGGGAACAACAAATGACCTTAAATCAATGGAGAGAAGGGTGCAGGATGCCTAGTGGGGCTTAATCAAGGGAAATGTAGCTGTGAGGAAATACTAAACCTGAAGGAAGGCCAAACATGGTGGTGGGAAAAGAGGGAATGAAAAGGAAATAGAGGAAAGAACCAGGAGGCAAAGGACATTTATAGAGGTCTAAATACAGGCATGGACATATGTAAATATATTTATATATAATGAGAGTGGAACAGATCTATGTACTTATATCTATATGTTAAAAAATAAGGTTGCTAATGGACATTAGGCCTCAACTCAAGTACTCCTTCAACACAAGAACACTTTGTTCTAATCACCTGGCATTCTGTAATGCTCACCTTCCCGTCACAATTGTTGAAGGCTAAATGAGGGCATAAGAAAATGTGGTGAAGAAAGCTGATGGTGTCCGGCTATCCAAAGATTTAGCATCTGGGGTCTTAAAGGCTTGAAGATAAACAAGCAGCCAACTAGCTGAGAAGCAGCCTACATGGAAGAAGCACACCATCCTGTGTAATCATGAGGTATCGATGCGATTAATTATCAGACATCTAAGACCCAGAACAAAATCATACCCAATGTGAATTGAGAGGGGATCAGTGTGGAGTGAAGAGCCAAAGCCCATCTGTAGACAATTGGACATCCCCTCACAGAAGGGTCACAAGGAAGAGATGGGTCAGTCAGGGTGCAGTATAGCACCGATGAAACACACAATTTTCCTCTAGTTCTTTCGTGCTTCCTTTCCCCCACTATCATGACCTCAATTGTACCTTACAAATCGGATTAGACCAGAGCATGCACACTGTTGCAGATAAGAGCCTGAAATACAGGGAATCCAGGATAGATAAACCCCTCAGGGCCAACAATGAGAGTAGAGATACCAGGAGGATGGGGGAAGATGGAGGGATAAGGGGAATCGATCACAAGGATCAACATAGAGCCCGCTCCCAGGGGGCTGGACAACAGGAAAGTGGGTGAAGGAAAACAGGATAATGTAAGATATGGAAATAATGATCTGTAACATATCAAGGGTTCATGAGGGAGGGCGCAGAAGGGAGGGAAAGTGAAGAGCTGATATCAAGGGCTCAAATAGAAGGAAGATGCTTTGAAAATGATGATGGCAGCATGTGTACAAATGTGCTTGACACAACAGTTGATTGTGTGGATTGTAATAAGGGATGTAAGAGGCCCCAATAAAAGTATTTAATTAAAAAAATATTGCATGGCTTAAAATCATGAAAGGTGTATGTCAGGATTGTATTTCTCACCATAATTATTCAATCTATATGTGGACAAAATAGAGAAGCTATACTGCAAGGCAGCACAGTGCATGGGTCATCTGGGCATGGATAAATACGGAAACCTGTTCATGTGTGCTGGGGCTGGGGAGGGGAGGGCAAGGTGGCACGGTCACCTGGGCAAGGACAAACCAGGTACCACGACTCATATACAGCTGTGAGGAGAAGGGAATGCAAGGCAGTGTGGCCCAGGTCACCCAGGGTGGGTGTGTAGGAAGCCATAGAGTGGGTCTCCAGGAAGAGGAAGAAGGATTAAGGCCAGGAACCGGCTCTATGGTTACCAGGCACAAGGATCTCTCATGCTGAAAATGGAGCTGAGGATGTGTCCTGGTGAGCACAGGTGCTGCTGTCTCTGGAGAGACCTGCAAATGATCACCCAGGCATTGCTACTCAAGGACCTGAGCTCACCCTCCTGAACCGGCCCCTTATTGCAGATCCAGCCTTCACTCCATGGAAGTTCCCACAGCGTGACCTTACCTCAGTGCTATCGTCCTGGAAGTCCAGCCTGAGGCATTATTAAGATGATTTCATTTTCTTTTAAATGTACTTGAATTCAACCAAAAATATGTAACCCAACCATTGACCCGAAAATCGCAGTTATTTTAAAGCAAAAAGGTATTTACTGAAAGTTGACAAAATAGATATAAATGTATGCTAACAGCCTGAGAGAGTTTGATTTGATTTCATAACATAAACCAGATAAAATACAAAGATAAAAATACCATCCCAAAGGAGGAAGTGGTAGAACTGGAATTGACCAGTGATGGAAATGAATGCATATGTCTGTGGAAGTGAGATTCAATTTAAATAATCATAGAATTACATCAAATTATAGCCAGCTGCTCGCCTTTCCATAAGTAAAAAGTGATAGATCATCCAAAGTAACAGTTTACTTTGGAACCTGGAAACCCTACTCTTCGTTCTCTCTGTCTCACCTGTGAAATCAGATGGTTCCTATTTTAATTATTGTTCAATTGTTAAACCCGGAATTTGAATGACCCTTTCACTAACCTTATTTTCTTTGCACAATACACCATGTGCTATTATGGCTTCCTGATCATTCAGGAGGATTAATATGAACCTAGCAGAGAAACCTGCTCAGGTTATTAAAGGTTAACATTGATTGTTCTAATGTGTCTCTTTATAATGCACATTTTCTCTTTTGAAGTTATTATATTAACTAGTCAATGTCTGGGTCAGATGTTAATGCCTTTTTTTGTTGCAGATACAGATGTGGTGTATAAAAGCGAGAATGGACATGTCATTAAACTGAATATAGAAACAAATGCTACCACATTGTTATTGGAAAACACAACATTTGTAAGTAATGAATAATTAATTACTTTATATATTTTGGAATTGGTTGGAAGACTTTCTAAGTGTACATAGTTCTCAATTTTTCTGCTCCAGTATATGTTAGTCTGGGTTGACTAGAGAAACAAATTCTTAGACACACATGTATGTATAAAAAAGAGCTTCAGATGGACATTGGGTCTGTCCTCAAGTAATCCCTCATGCAAGGACACTTTGTTCTATTAAACTGGCATTCCATGGTGCTCACCTTCCTGACACGATTGCTGAAGAAAAAGAACAAATATTTCCAGAAATAGTTCTTGATACAATGATTATGTCTTCAATATTTTCTATGTAAGATTAATTATACAAATGCCAAGATTTTTTTAAAAATTGATAAATTTCATTTTTATTTTCCAAACTCCTGATAAAGTTATCTGGGTCACATATGTTACCTTTACTATTATTATTTTTTATTCTGAACAGTTGTATTGGGGCACAACCCAAATATCATGCAATTCAATAATTTAATCATATGAAGAAGAGTTGTATGATTATTACACAATTAATTTAGCACATTTTATTCTTTCTTGTATGCCTGGTTGTTAGCTCCTTATTTCCTCTAAACCCCTGCTATACCACCAATGAAATATCAATTCAGTCACAGTCACCATTGATTCAACCATCCTGGATTTCATAAAGAAAACATATATGTTTCATGAAAAACATACAGAAACAAAAAAACAAAGGGTTTAAAAGCTAACAACAATAACAAAATAAACCAGGGAAAATAAACTCAGTTGAAAAAAAAACCAGAAAGTATTTAAAACTAGAATAGCTTAAAAATGGTTAAAAAGGGAGATCCAATGTGACGGTGTTAGACTTTAACCTAACTACATCTGCCATAATCCACTTTCCTATTCACTTTGTAGGATGGCCAAACTGTTCACACCCCTTCTCCTTCACTTGTTAAAAAACCAGAAGTGATAGAACTTTTCGATGGGTTGAAGGAGGATCCAATCAGTTGCTACTTTTTAACCTGGCTATATCTCCTATCTACCACTTGTCTCACAGTTTGTCATACCTGGGTGTTTTTGTGATGTTGTGTCACTGGTATTTCAAATGGTAGACAGGGCCACGCAAAGCGAACAGGTTTCAGAACAGACAATGAACAGACAATGAAGAACTTGGCTCTCTACTTTGAAGGGAGACGCCACTGCAAAACGTATGCATAACTTCAAAGCATTTTCAAATACTAAAAGCCTAAACAAAGGAAGCAGAACTTTGTAAGAGATACAAATTGTCCAGAGATCAAAAGACATATTACATTAGGTAAATCTGCTATATAAGAACTCTTTAGAGTATTGAAGAGCAAGGCTGTTACATTGAGGACTAAGGTGTCCCTAACTTAAGCCATGGTCTTCTCCATTGCATCGTATATATTTAAAAGTTGGACACTGAATAAGGAAGAGTGTACAAGAACAGATGCCACCGAATTGTGGTGCTGGAGAAAACATATTAAAGAACTATGGACTGCTAAAAGAACACACCGATCTGTATTGGAAGAGGTAAAGCCAGAGTTCACCTTAGAAGCAAGGCTCGCAAGACTTCATCATATAGACTGTGCACATGGTGCCATGAGAGACCAGTCCCTGGAGAAGGACAGCATGTTTGGGGTCATGGAGGAGCAGTGCACAAGAGGAAGGCCCTCGCTGAGATGGATTGTACAAGTCCAGTAGCTGCATCAATGGGCTCAGGCGCATGAATAATTGTGAAGATGGTGCAGGAGCATGCCGTGATTCATTCTGCTTTAATAGGATTGCTGTGAGTCAAAGCTGACTAGTTGGCAGCTGACCATGCAAGCAGCATTTCTACTATCATGGTCTCCACAATACTCTCTGTCTGATAACAAGGCTATCCGCATAACTCAACTATGGACAGAGGGAAATCCCTGGAGGATTCATGTATGGATGGATACTGCAAATGGAATTTGGGCCTCCAGCATCTTCTGCAAAGCAGGTGCTCACAATTTAAGCTCTGATGCCTTTCCCTTCAGATATGGATTATATTTTTAATAATCCTTGGATCACACAGGTTGGTGTGCTTTTTCCATGTGGACTTAGTTGTTGATTCACTGAGAGAGTTGCTTGCTTGAATAAAAATCTTTAAGACCCCCAACACTACTCTTTCCTTCAGTCAGACAGCATGTAGTTTCTTCACCATGTTTTGCTATAGCACCCGTATCTTCAGTGCTCTCTTCACGAGGGCATATTCATAGATTGGTTCATAGGTTCATAGATTTAGACCATAGTTGTTCCTAGATTGGGTCTAAAATCAAGTGCAAGCCACAAATCCATTCATATAACTGTGTTTTATATTTGTCCCTGGTTCACCTTAAAGACATCATGGTAATTTTATGTTAGAAAACATTAAGCCTCATCTCCTTGGGACATAAAGTCATTCTATTGATCGTGTCATTAATTTGGCAAATGGTAAAGAATTTAAAACAAAGTTGAGAAAATGAGATTGTACAAGTGTAGGTTGGCTACAAACAGCAATGTATGTATTGTTGACTTGGATAGATTCATTTAAACAAGTGGACTCTATTAGAACAAACCATTGGGATTGGCAATAGGCAAAACGTGCAATAATATTTACTGACAGGGGCAGAATGAGGCCTACCAGATTAGTACATATCTTAATAAAGTAAGAAGGCCACGGAGATAGTAAGTATATGGTACTCTGATGACCATGAGTTCTATACCCTTTATATAACCTATATATAACAGCCATCTGTTTCTCACATCATGTAGTTTCAAACTTGAGTCCCAGGGGTACAGATGAGTTTGAGGAATATTAATATATTAATAATAGGTCATTAACTGATAGAAGGTTGTTGTGTTTAGGTGGTATTGAGTCTGCTCCATCCCATAGTGTCTCTCTGCACAGCAGAATGAAACAATGCCGGTCCCTGCATCACCCTAAGAGTTGTTCCTATGCTTTAGCCCATTGGTGCAGCTAATGTGTTCATTCTTCCTGTGGAGAGCCTTCTTCTTTGTCATTATCGCTCTACTTCACCAAGCACTATGTCCTCTAGGGTCTGGTACCTCCTGACAACATGCCCCAAATCCATAGGACAGAGACTCACCATGCTTTCTTCCAAGTAGTATCCGGGCTGTACTTCTTCCAGTACTGAAGTGTTTATTCTTTTGACAGTCCGTAATGTTTCCAATGTTCTTCACCAGCACCACGATTCAAATGGATCCATTCTTCTTCAGTCTACCTTATTCAATGTCAAACTTTCACATGCATGAGGCCATTGAAATTACCATGGCTTGAATCAGGGCCCACAACTTAGTCCTTAAAGTAATCCCCCTCCTTTTCAACACAGTAAAGTGGTCTTGTATAGCAGTTTACCCATGCAGTGCATTCTTTGATCTTTTGACTGCTTCTTGTACATTGATTATAGAGCCAAGCAACATAAAATCCTTGATAATTTCCATTTTTTTCTCCATTTATCATGATGTTATCTATTGGTCCAACTGTGAGGATTTTGGTCTTCTTTTTTCATTTGTTTGTTTGCTTTTTTTAATTGGGAGTAATGCATATATTAAATCATTCCATAGTTCAATCACGTCCAGCAGAATTGTACATTTGCTGCCTGTGGTAGTTACATAATCTGTTGTCAATTTGAGACATCAGCGTGAGGGGTAGAGTTTGGCTTGTCAATCAGGTCACAGCTTGATGACCGAATTTAGAAGCACTAAGGAGATAAATAGCTTGCCGGAGACGGGACACACACTCACTCCCTGGGAGACATTCCTGCGGACAAGACAAATGGAACTGCATTGGTGTACTGAGTTGGAAGAGTCACCTAGAGAGCCCTGCCAGTGCTGAGATGCTTAGACTCCCTCCCCCTGATACCACTAGACTTTCCACCCTGTGGCCTGTGATCTTCCTGCATTTGGCATCAGTCCATGTGTTTCGTGAGTCAGAAGAGGACTTTATAGATTAGCATCGGACATATGGGCTAATATCAGATTTATGGACTTGATCTGGACTGGGCTGGAACATTTTCTCAATATTCACTTGCTCTTGTATATAAAGATTTTTCTTATACACATATGAGAGTCTCTATGATTTTTTTTTCCTAGTCTACCCAGACTAACACACTACCACAATCAGTTTCTAAATATTCTTTTTCTGTTTGGACTCCTTGACGTTGTTATCCCATTCCCCCACCCCCACGTCTGTGCCTCTCTCCAGCCCAAATCCTTATTCCAATCGCTGACTCTATAAGTTCATCCGTCCTGGTTTTCATACAACAAAAAAATGAAAAAAAAAAATCTATACTCCCACTTCAAGATGGTGACCCTTAATGACATCACACTTCTGGAGTAATTCCTTATATGTACAATCAAAAAACATACAAACCCCCAAATGCATAAAATTATGGAAATCAGGTCAGGTCCAGCATGCATCATTGGGTGAAGTTTTAACCATTCAAGTCTTTGATGTTCTGTGCTCAAATCCCAGTGCACTCCTTTTAGTGACCACTGTCTTCGTATCCCTCCATTGTGGATAAAGGGAGTTCCTGGGAGGCTTCTTTCCTATATGGTTCCACCAATGAATCTTGGGCTCCCACTGTCATCCATAGCCTTCTGCAAAGCAGGTTTTCAGACTTCAAGCTCTGATAGTCATCCCTCCCTTTGATGTTGTGGACTTAATTGACATCTCTCTTAGACGGCTGTTTGTTTGGAGACAAGCCTTTAAGACTCAAAACACTATGAGCCACATTGTGCTATAGCACCCTTATCTTCTGTGTTCTCATACTGGAGGCTGGTATCAAGCAGAGCCATGATGTAATAGCTAATGCTTCTTAAATTGGAACTGGGATTTAGTGTGAGGCCCAAACATATTCCTGGATCTATGTTTGTTTGCTTTTTCTTTCAATTTATTATCATTTGGGTATTAACCCAAATGACAATTCATTGTATCATTCAATCTCACCAAGCAGAATTGTATCA